GTATATACTGTACCTACTACTATATATATATATATATATATAATTACTATATATATATACTATATATATATATTTCACTGTAATTATATTAATAAGATAGTGAAGTTATACTGATTTAAAACCGTTTTTCAATTTCCCATTTGGAAAACAACAATTAGGACATCCTATCACAAAATAAATCAATTACCAGTCATAAAAGAAAGAAAGACAAAAACCCCAGCAGCAATCATTCCCAAAAAAATCCATGGAAATTAAGCAGAAAATTGAGTGACTCTAATGCCATGAAAACAAATCAGTTCTTTACATGACTCAACTGCGTAAAAATGAAAACTTTGATACTGAAAAAATCAGCCTCGTAAATCCAGCGGCCTTAAGCTTAGCAGAAGCGATGAAATACTTTGGATGTTGGCGAGCGTCGAAGAGGGAGGAGGAAACAAACAGCTATGGCGGTGAAAGTTGCAGAAGAAGACGATGGCCATAGAATCTTAGAGAGATAAACCCTTTCCCTGGAACAGAGAGACAAAAGGAATGTGGGACTGTAAACCCAACAACCAATGCAAGAGAAATTCAATAGTTTAAGGAGAAGTTCGCAAAACCATCCCCAATCGCGTAGACTATGCTCCCGCGCGAGCATAATGTAAATTTACTTCCACAGGAATAAAAATTAGATTAGGAGCATGTTTTTATCGGTCATTTTAGGATCGAGAATCCAATATATTGAAAAGAAAATTTATATTTTTTATTTTTTTATAACATTTAGATCATACCATTCAAAGAGACTAAAAATCCAATATATTCAAAGGAAAGTTTGAATTTTATTTTATTTTTAACACTTCAATCTTGCCCTTCAAAAATTAGAAGGTTTGTGTTCGATTTTGAGGCATATATGGAAAGGCCGCACATGTACAAATGACGTTAGCATGTGGCCATGCTTACAAATGTGGGCTTGGCAAATATATATTTTTAAATATAATTTGATTTTAATTTTTGGAAAATATAATGAGATCATGAATATGAAAAAATAAATAAATTTTAAAATTTTAAAAATAAAAAATAATAATTATATTAAGAAACATTTGAACAATTAATTACAATTGTTTTTAGATGGACCACCTATTTGCATCCATCTTTATGATGGATGCTTTATACCTGTTGACCGCATATTATACAAAAGCAGTCCAGCTCGCATGAAACAATTGCTCTTGTTTTATTGACCATATTATATGGGTTGAAAATGCTTCATCTACAAAAATTGGAGTCTTAAAAATGGAAAAAAGGTTAAAATAAGGCTAAAGTTTTATGGAAGAAAAATAAAGCCTCAACTTAAGACTCAACGATGATGATAGTTTCAGCTTTCGAAAACCTTCAAATCGAGTATCTTGACTTTGATCATTATAGTTATGAAAAAAAATAGGATTTCAAATATAAGTATATATTGTAATACACTATCTAGACCGTCCATTTTTCAATGTTAATAGGTCCATAAGATATGTACCATTTTTTTAGCTTTAAATTTCATAATCAGGGTGGAAATATATTTTAGAGCCATCTTAGGGATTTCCTACGTCCAAAGTTTTTTCCGGACAAACTTTCGAGGTGAGGTCTTATTCTTTCTTTCTTAAGGCGGATGCATTACCATATCGCATCCCTTAAAAATACAAAATCTTTTGATAGAGTTGCAGCCAGATCAAAACAAGTAAAGCCTCACTACAAAACTCACCAAAAATTGTACAAGTAAAGCCTCACCACAAAACTCACCAAAAATGGTAGTTTTGGCATCAAAAAAACCTTCAAATCAATCATATCGACCTTGGCAATTATGGTTGTGACAGAAAAAAAATGATTTCAAGCTCTGAACTAACTTATATTATAACACATTATCTAGACCATCTATTTCGCACTAAAAATAAGTGTACATGAATGCATAATATTTGTACAACTTTTTTATCTTCAAATTTCAATGTTAAAGATTAATTTTAGAGCCATCATAGAGATTTTTTATGCCCAAAGTACTTTCTAAACAAGGTTTCAAGGTATAGACCTTAAGCCTTATATAAACTACATCTCTTAAAAATACCCTAGAATGGATTTTGCCCAATAGAGTAAATAGACATTATACTCCTTTGGAATCACGAAATCGTTTGGCATTTTTCCAAAGCTCCCGGCTTTTGAACATCCTTCAAGTGGTCACTATGTGATTAGCAGCGTAATAGTGCATCCACTCTTCCTCCATCACCGTCCACCGACCACAGTGATAACACTTCATCATCGATTACAGGAAAAGGAACTTTATGAGAGGAAAATCGTGTCATGCGGGGCTGGATCGTATTTCTACAATATGCAGTCTCAACGTATAAAGCATCTATATTAAATATGGATGCAAATAGGTGGTCTACCTAAAAACAATTAAAATTAATAGTATAAATAAGTTTTTAATAAAATTATTATTTTTAATTTTTAAAATTTATTTCTTTTGTCATATTCATGATCGCATGATAGAGATTACATGTCTTTAAAAATTAAGTCCAAAAATCCATTTTAAAAATAAATTTTTAAGAGATGACGCATTTCCACACGACTCATAGAAACCACGTCCTTCTTTTTTAATTTGAAAATTACATACTTTTGATAATTTTGAACATTCTATTTTGAGCCTTACATCCCAACGAACCATTCAAAAAGACCTATTCGGTGAAGAATTTTTCTTAGATATAAAAAGTTGTACATTGAGTTGCACAATGGAAGTATTCCCAAAGGACTAGGCATGGTATTTCAAAGGAAGCTCGTCTCAGGACTGTTACAATTAAGTTAGGATAAAAAAAAGATCAAATTGTGGTAATCTATTGTGCGGATAGATCACAATTGCTTACAACCATCCGATGTGAAATTTGATAGCTTGGGTGTGTCACCAAGTTTAAAAAATTTTCTTTTGAACTTTGAGCTGAGTCAATGAAATAAATGCAGCCATCCAATTTCACATCCAATGGTCAAGATTAATTGAGACCATCTTGTACCAAAGATAAAGGTCTCTTTATATACTTTCCCTTTTTTTATACATTTTCTTGTGAGGATAAAAAATCTGTAATACTAAATATTTAATAAACATATCCAACCAAGTATTTATAACATCCAAATTAGTCACATACTTCACTAACACATAAGAAATAAGGCTAGGCATGAGTCCACCATAACATCAATTGCTTAAAACACAAAAATGAGTCCACTACAAATAGCACTAGACACGAGTAGATACTTCTACAAGCTAAGCATGTTCTTTTACATGATATAGAATAAAAAGACACATATAGATAGGACTATGTACATATTTTTTTAAGGGATTGTGGTTTACGATATTTTTCATTTTTGGTATAAAATAGATGAAAGTGTCACAACATTTGAGAAATTTTGTTTTGGACTTTATGTCTAAACAACGAGACATCCTCAACCACGCTGACTTCAAATCTATCAATAATGGCGTTGTATCAAAAGTTATATATATATATATATATAATTATAAAAAATTATACAATGAGACTATTTACTTTTGGTACAAGGTGGTCACAGCTAATTTTGACCATTGGATGTAAAATTGGGTGGTTACATTTATTCTATTGGCTAAGCTCAAACTTCAAAAGAAATTTTCTTGAGCTTTGTAATACACCCAAGCTATTAGATTTCACATATGATGGGTATAAGTAATTGTAACCTTCATGTATCAAAGGCAAATGGTCTCATTGTATGCGATCTATATTTTATTTTTTATGCATGAATATGGAAGAGACAGACTACTAAAAGCCCATCCTATCCTAATCCCGGTCCAAACTTAGTCAGATGCAGATGGGGTTTTGCCGAAATGTGATTTATGTGAAATCAGTCCCGAAATACCTCTTTCTCACAAAGCATCTTCTGTATTGGCTTAGAGAACTAAAAGAAACATTGCAAATCAATTTGAAAATACGAGGACTGATTGCATTTTCAAAAAAAAAAGGAAGAACGATATTCATGGGATTTTGAAATAGAGAAAGAAATGATAAAGGAAATTAATACAGGGTGTTAATGTAATTAATAAGGTATCTACGTTCAATTTACCCAAAAATTTTAAAACCATGCTCTAAGATTTGTCCTATTAGAGTGTTGTTTGTGCTCTTATTGAGTTGTTATTGCTCCCTCTTGTTCATTCTTTTCAATATTTTACAGTAAACCAGTGTGGGGATGGTATCCCCGAACCAAGGGGTATTTTGGAAAAAATTAAAAGGTCTATAGCAACTGATTTTCTTTGTAAATTTTGAGTTAATTTGTCTTTTTTTGGATTTTCCCTACTTTTTTTTATATATGACTCTAATTAAAAATAGGGGCATAGTTTATATAAGGCGGCAAATTCATTTGTAGAAATAAAGTTGTCATGTTCTATGCTGTCTATTTTAATTTAACGGTATAGTAACAATAAATGGACAATATAAATAGCTGCAACCTTACCTTGATATGTCAAACTTTCACCAAAATTGAACCCTTTTCTAGTTAGTAGGTTATACATTTATCCTACTATTCTTTAGAGAATATAAGAAACTACGTTATTTTGGTGCTCCAAATTCATAAATTTGAGTCAGAAATGGACTTTTTATGATTTGAATGTGTTTCGAATCCTAAAACCCTTCAGGGCATATGCATGAGTCCGCATACTCACCAGAACTCTCTGCTGGGCAATTTGGTACCAGTAAGGACAAAGATGCTATACACCATTAGCATATGGAATATGGTACTCCATAGCAGCTTCCGTCCTCTATCCTCAATAATGGTCCGTGGAAATCCACACAGTGGTCTGGTCCCCCAAGGGGAAGCAATAAGAGCCTTAACGTCAGTTATGAGTGGTGCACAGTGAGTGCGCCTATGGAGTACGAAAAACCTTTCCAGGGGAACTATGCTGCTATAGTCCATTGGAAATGGAGATAAGAATAGCTCATTGCAGTGTCATCAGTCCGATTAAATGATGGACGATGATGAAGGGAGTAGACCTCACATTCTAAATGCTGGTTCCCGCTTTACTTTCCATCACTACCTAGAACAAACAAAAGTGGTACCATATTCCACACGTGTGGCAGTAGTGCAGTGCCCGTGGTTTCCGGGACGTTGAGCATGCAGAGAGAGAAAGAGAGGATGTTGAGAGAGAAAGAAAGTGAGATCGTTTGACAAGCTTTTGATAAGAGAGAATGGGAGGAGAGAGAGGCGAGAAGATCAAAACATAAATAAATATTTAAAAAATTAAAATTTGAGGTAGGGAGGGAGAGGATTTTTAAATAGTGAAGAAAATACGATTAAAAAAATATATATATTATGAGGGGTGATTTTGTATATCATAGATTTTGCTTCAATTCGTAGATTTTGTATGTCATAGATTTTGCCCAAATCTCAACCATCGATTTAGGGAGACTTGTCGGGTGAGAGATTTTAGTCATCCATCTCCTTGATTTACTATCAAAATTAAAAAAAGATAAACGATAGCCTTATCTCCATTTTCTAAATCTATTATCAAATCTATTCCCATCAAATAAGAAAAGTTT